ACGGAGAAGTGGTGCCTCGATGTGCACCCGGGATCCGAACCCAGGCCACCAGCATTGCAGCGCGCGCACTTAACCACCAAGCCACAGGGCCGGCCCAAAGCAAATAAAATTAAAGTCACAAAATTAATGTTCTGGTTAAGGATTCCCAATGAGCAAAAGGCAACACTCTACTAAGTAGAAAATACACGTCCTAAAGTGGTCAAAATGAGTGACATATCATTGGAAATATGTTATCAAAAAGGTGAAATTTGGAACCCAAGAATCATTTTATAAGTGAATTTGAAAAGCACCTGGACTACTGCTACTAGGTGCCCCTCCCATCAAATGCTCTTCCTCCTTCCAGGAAATCTGAAGCTAAAATTAGCTTTCCTCCTCTGCTTTCACTGTTCTTGCTAGGGAGGAAAGGGGACAAAAATACAAAATGTTGTAGTTTGATAGAAGAAAACTGCTGTTCATTGGACAAATAATTCAGTCAGTATTATTCTAGGAATTGTCTTTTTTTTTTGGTGAGGAAGATTGGCCCTGAGCTAACATCTATGCAATCTTCCTCTACTTTGTATGTGGGTTGTGGCCACAGCATGGCCTTATGCGTGGTGTAGGTCTGCACCTGGGATCCCGGCAGTGGACCTCGGCCACTGAAGCAGAGCACAACAAAGTTAATCACGACGCAAAAGGCTGGTCCTGGAATTGTCATTTTAAGATGCACATTAACGCCCATTCCCTCCATAAAGTTTTTTCTAAGTCCAGACAAATCCACTCCTTCCACTTCCCATCCTTTTTATAATCATCGCTAATGAAAAATTTAATACTTTGGCAAATATAATTTTTTGTCCTTTCATTTTGATAGACATCCTAGAGTGCAAACTAGTTGAGAGCAAAGTTCAGGACATCTGCATAGCATCTAACATAGTGCCAAGGACAATGTAGACAATGACAGAATTGAATTAACTAGTCCCTTCAATGGCTTCTATTTATGATTCATTTAGACCATAGTGGAGAGCTTTAACAGAGCAGGGTAATGAAACTTTTTTTCTCTTCTGAAGCTAATTGAGTATGCTTTATGATGTTCCAGATTTTCCTTAGCTCCTTTCATGTGGTTGTGGCTCCATCCTACAGATTTATCAATTTTACAGATATATCTGGGAATTAAGAGCCTACTAAATAAAAATAGAAACGTTTAAATTAGTCAATAACTTAACGTTGGTGAAATGCTTAGATCCATGCTTCTACCTCATTTTTCTTCAAAGCGATCAAAAAACAAAGGAGTTGGTGGAAGACTGCATCTGCGACTGAAACCCGTCAGTCACACTGTTAAGGGCGAAAGGTGACACCCTCTCAAGGGAGCTTATTTTTAATTTTTCCTCCTCAAAGGATTAAAATCCCATAACGGATATTACTTGCTTCATAACACATCTTGACATGATCAAAACATTCTGACAAGGGGAAAAAGTAAGGAACAAATCTTTAACGTTACGGAATGTTTTTTTTTTTTTTTGAGGAATAATTCCTGAAAAACCCAATATATTGGATAGGGGCGGTAAGAAACAGGGTCCCTAACGCAGAGAGGTTGGTGGTACAGGTGGGCATCCACCTGTTTACGTCACAAACCGCTGAAGGCTCCACGCGCCGGTTGCTATGGAGGCCGCCCTCCCCGCCCCGCCCTCTCCCCACTCCCCGGCCCCGCGCTCACAGCCCTCCAGTGTTCGGTGACCTGCCGGGCGGGCTGCAGGCAGCTGGCAGCGCAATGCCAGGGGACAGCTGCTGGAGGGGACGGTGGGATCCTGGTGCACCGTGAGCCTCGGGCCCGGCCCCGCTTCGGGCCGATGAGCAAAGCGCGGTCCGCCGGCCACTGCCCTCCCGGCCTCGGATGCGAAGGGAGCAGCAGCCGGACAGGAAGCCCGAGGACGGCGCAGGGCCACCACTCTACCAACACGCGCTAGGGAAGCATCTCCATCAGCTGCGCCGCTCCGGGGCTCCTCAGTGAGCGTCTACACAAGCCGAGTGGAGGGGCGCGGCGGGGGCGGCGTGGGGAGAGGCAGGGAGCCGCGGGAAAGGGTGGGCTGCGGCGGGGAGCAAGACAGCGGGGAGGACTGGGAGCTCTGCGGGAGGGTGGGAAAAGGGAGGCCCGAGGCGAAGAAGGCCGCTGGGGGCGGAGCCAAGTCCGGGCGCCAGGTAAGCGTGTGGCCTCAGGCGGGAGGCCGCAGTCTGCGGGCACCCTTTCTGGGCGAGAGAGGAGGCTCTCCGCGTGCTCCGAGCCGGAGCAGAAGCGAAAGTGAAGGCAATCGCTCGTTTCCTGGAGCGCTGCCTGCGCCCGCCTTCCCGTCCGGCCCCTGCGGGAAGAGCGCCCCGAAGGGCCGACTCTCCCGGGGCGGTGCGTGCGGCCGTAGCGTCTCGCGTTCGGCCCCGCCCCTTCCCCGCCAGGGTGCCGCCCCCTTCCTGGCGCGAGCTGCTTCCTGACGCGATTCTCTTCCCCCTCCGGGTTCGCGCAGGGAGTCGGCCCCGGGCCGCTACCGCCACTTCGGCCCCTGCCGCCGCCGGCGTCGCCATCGCCTTGATCCTCCACCCCCGCCATGGCAGAGGAGCTCTCCGCGGCCACGTCCTACACCGAAGATGATTTCTACTGCCCCGTCTGTCAGGAGGTGCTCAAAACGCCCGTGCGGACCGCGGCCTGTCAGCACGTGTGAGTAGACGCCCCCTCCCCCCTCGGAACCGGGTGGTCATTCAGGCCCCGCGTCCGCCCGTGGACCCTCCTCGGCTGCGGCCTGGCGGGAGCCGAGCCTGTCGCGGCGCCGCGCGGCGCGGAGGGCCCGTTCCCGGCCCGTCAGAGCCCCGGCGCCCTCCTCCCAGCTCGGGGCCCGCTTCCTGCGCCCGGCCCCTCAGCCCGGCTCTTGGTCCCCGGGTGTCCCTCGCTTTCGCCACCTGGGGCAGTGGCCAGGCCACTGGGATCTTCACGCCCCAGAGGCCCCTCTCCTCCAGGCCCGAGAGGAGTTGCATGGAACGTGGAGCCTTTTTGTTTCCTAGCAACCTGGGTGAGAGCTGGGGTGTCGAGTGTCAGAACCGGCCGAAGGTGCCCGCGCGGGCCCGCTCCGTGACCTGCCCTGCTTTCAAGTGTTCCCTTTTCTTCCTTTCAGAACCTTGGTTCGTCCTTTCCAGGTCCAGGAGCTCTTCTCTAGCTTACCTTTCAGCCCAGCTGCACAGACCACCCTTGAAAGTGTTTTGCTTCTTTTAAAATTGGGTTCATATCAGAATGATCTAGAAGGGATTTGCTACTCTCATATGTTAGAGCTGACAGGATTTCCGGGTATTGAAGTGATAGTTGCCCTTTGTTTTACTCTTCTGCTTATTACTTGGTTACTACAAGGGTGGAGATAAGAAAGGAAAACTGCTGTGAAGAATGAACTGAAATCAAGGAAGTAACCCTGGGGTGACAGGAGCACAAAGGGATTAGGTGAGGTGGCATGGGGCTGTTTGATTTGGTGTATTTATAAAAGGAACTTCGATAATTGTATAGACTGCTAGTGTCAGTGGAGGTTAGAAGGAGCCCTTCATGTAAAGGTATATAGCACTTCTGGGAACCTGGCTGCTGATCACAGTCCCTGGGGAACTTTATAAGTAAACATATCAATTCCCCGGCTCCATTCCAAACTTACAAAAGAATTTCTGTCAGGTGAGGCCTGGAAATCTTTATTTGAAAAAATACACTTGGGGTTGAAAGTTCTGTGTGCTTGCAAATCGCTGAAAAGAATCGAACAAGTTCCTAATTACTGTATTTCTTTCTCCTTCAACTTTTTTTTTTTTTTTTGAGAGTTAGGTTCTATAATTTTGTAAAGAATGGGTTGAACTTTGGGTTCTCAATCCGAAATTTCATTACAGTTGTTTCTTGATCCCCACTCCTCTCACTTGATTCTCAATCTTCACTGCACTGTCCATGTTATTCCTGTTTTGCGGTGGTTGTGTGAGCCAAGGGTACGTGACTTTTCATGATTGAAATTATGCCCGTTATGTTTTTGCTGTTTATGGGAGATGAATGACAGTCTGAAATTCTTTTATTATTTGGTGCAACAAATGCAGATTGTTAGAGAAACATTTTGAGATGTCTGAGGCACAGTGTATACTTTTTGGCCTTAAATCTGTTGGTATTCGTTATCATAACTTGATGCTTTTCCTCTGCTTGTGCTGGCAGTGGGTGGAAGAAAGGGAGGGAAAGAGGGCGAAGTGAGAGGAAGTGAGTCTTTTCTGGACAGAATCATTTCAATTACCCTTTGGGTTATTGACCTCATAGAATTGGTAATTGAGCAGTTTGCTCTAGTGCACTTCCCTTGTGGGACATTTTAAATCAGGCTGTAATTTGGCTTGACCTCAAGGCTATGGAAAAGAGAGTGGAGATGATTGTAAAGGATCTTTTTCTTTTTTTGTCCTCCCCAAAGCCCCAGTAGATAGTTGTATGTCATAGTTGCACATCCCTCTAGTTGCTGTATGTGGGACGCCTCCTCACCATGGCCAGACAAGCGGTGTGTCGGTGCACACCCGGGATCCGAACCCTGGGCTGCCAGGAGCGGAGCGCGTGCACTTAACCGCTACGCCACAGGGCTGGCCCGTAAAGGATCTTTTTCAAATCAGCTCGTTGGGCTTGGATGTGACCAGACTAGATGTGGAAATGAAACAAAGTAGATTTTGTTGATAAGAGGAATAGGAACTGACTGCTCTATCAGTCTCCTCCATCCTCTCCTTTATCACCCTCTCCTCTTGTCACACACACAATTGCTCTAAGGTTCTGGCTGAAGAATGAATTCAAGAAGGCAGAGGGGAAAAAGTTTTATTTGGAAGGGGTGGTAATGGTGGAACAGGGTCTTGATTGACCTGAAGGAATTTGGTGGGGAAATAGAATTGTATTTTAAATAATCCAGTTTACAACGTCCTTTGCTCTTTTTTCACAACAGACAAACCTGTGCCTTTAAACAAATTTATATTTAGTTACAAAATCAGTTTTTGATTCACAGGTAGTGAGAGATGAGGTGATAAAGGCTTTGGGTCACTGTGGGTCTGTTAGAATATGAAAAGTTTTCATTGCCATTTCAATGATAGCAAAGGATTTACCCATTGACTATTCTAGTTAGAGGAGCAAGTCCATATTCATTAGAATAACTTCGCAAAGTAAAAATTCCCGTTTAATCCCCGTTCATTCCTTCAAACAGCAATTGTTAAATGCTTTCTGTATGTCAGGTACAGAGATTACAAAGTGCTCTTTGCCTGGAGACTGTTAATAGTCTAATGGAGAAGACCCATACATGAATATGATTGATGTGAAAGAGATTTAGGAGGAAAAGTTTATGTGAGCATTGAGAGCATGTATCTAAGTCAGCCTATGAGTATAGACGAGATTTCCTGGATGAAGTAATACTTTAGGTCAGATTTGGTATTCAGGCTTTTGGGGAATACCCTGATTAGGTTTACGGCATATGCAGAGGCAGGGAGGGGTTACGGTGGATGACTGTATCCAGACTACAAAGTTTGGCTGGAGCCAAAGGATGAGTGTAGTGGAGATGCGGCTTAGAGATATTGGTAGGAACTTACTATGTAAGCCAGTTTGAACTTTTTCCCGAAAGCCATGGAGACCTATTCAGTAATTTTTGGCAAGGGAGCACCATGGTCACATTTCAGTTTTAGAAAGTTTACTTTAGTAGCAGGGTCTAGCTTAGTAGTGATGAGACTAGTGAAGAGGTCCTTCATTGCTGTGTCAGAGAGAGAAATTATTAGAACCTAAACCAAAGTAATGATAGTGGAAATGGAGAGAAGAGATTCCTGACATTTTAAGATCGTGTAAGATTTGATAATTGTATGTCCAATAGCTAAGTGTCAGACTTTTGGGACCCCCCTCTGTTTAAAGATTTTGATAAGTATTGACAAATTGCTATCAGACACGTAGAACACTTGTTTCCTTATATCTCCTTTAACACTGGTTATAATTATTATTTTTAAAACTAAGTTTTAGTTTGACAACTGAAAAATGGTATCTTGGTCTTATTTACTTTGTATTTTTTTGACTCCTGCGTTATGATTAATATTTTTAATGTTTTAATTTATGGTCTTAATTGGTAATCACTTTTAATGCTACTTTAGTGATATTTTAGCTACTATTTATCAAACACTTTCCTGACTGTCAGAAATACTATGACAGGCATTTTATTGCATTACCTATTTTAATCCTCTGAACAACCCTATCAAGTGTAGATACTTTTATTTATTATTTATGGGTGAGGAAACTGTAGAGAAAAAAGAGACTTGTTTGATGCTACAAAGTTAGGAAACTCAGATTCTGTGGTCTGTTATTACACTTTTACCTCTCAACTTTTGTTAGTATAGATGAGGAAGATTGGTATATTTGCATTTATAAGGCATTGGGTTAAATGTGTACTTACTCTAGATCCCAGATATAGATGGCTATGATTTATCTGGTTTTTCTAAAAGCAAAATGATCACGTTTGGTATTTACTTGGATTAGGGGAGAAAAAATAAAGATTTTAGTGAGTTTGATTCCAATTAGAGTGTTGCTTATAGATGTTTAGAGCTGGAAGTGTTCTTGATATTTCTCAAATTATGTTCCATTGCACACTGTGGTGGGAAATTTTCATATTTCCTGACCATATAAGTTTGGGCAAAGTTTCCTTAGCAGAGAAATTTTATTAACGTTGTTTGTCCTAGAATTTCCCAAATCAATTTGTGCACTGTTCTGTAGTAGACCAATCATATCTTTTGAAACAATATCTTGAAGTATATCAGTTTGAGACAAAAGCTGATGTGGTCTATTCTCTCATTTTATAAGGGGAGGAAATGGAGATCCAGTATGGTTAAGAGTGTTGCCTAAGATCACACAGCTACTAAATGACACAGGATAAAATCCAGTCGTTCCTTTGTACCATACTTCCTCTAGTAATGTTATATAATATTAATATTTATTTTTCATATATATATTAAAAAGTCATAAAGCATACTTGAGTGTAGTTTCTTTTATATTCTCATCTAGTCCAGTTATTAGTCTTACACTCTGAGAAATACATAAAAAGTTTTTAAAATTCTAATTTTAAAATTATGAATAGCCTAACTCATTTAGTATGTATACATATCCATAACTGCTTGTTTGTGTTTAATCATAGAAATGAAAAGAGTACTTTTTTGTGTAGTTAACATGTCACAAATGTTTGGTTTAGTTTCTGTAGAAAATGTTTCCTGACTGCAATGAGAGAAAGCGGAATACATTGTCCCCTCTGTCGTGGAAGTGTGACTAGAAGAGAGAGAGCATGTCCTGAACGGGCCTTAGACCTTGAAAATATCATGAGGAAGTTTTCTGGTAGCTGCAGATGCTGTGCAAAACAGGTAGAGTAAATGTGACATAGCTCTTCTTTGAAAGTCAGGTTTCTATTCTGAAATTCCTGTCTGATTTTTCTTGGAGGGTGCTGTTTTGAAGAGAAGGAAGTTATTTAGGTTGGGAATTGTGTAGAAAAGGCCAAAAAAGCTGTGGTTCTAGATCTTACTAGATGATAAATTTATTGAGAACAGACTGAAAGATACAATCTCTGAATTTGCCATAATTTTTAGCATGGTATTTTTCTCAAAGTAATCTCTCATTGATTACCTACTTAATGAACTAAATGAGCAAACTGGCATTAACTCATTTAAACTCCGTTCTTGTGCAAATTGAACCCTTAAATAGTTTTTCTGATGATAACATCATTATTGCAGTTTTGCACATAGAAATGGACCAAATGGATTTGCAGTCAAGCAGCTCTCTAGTTGCCCACTTGATGTATTTGTGTTTATCTAAGAAATCAGAAACTATTTGGCAGAAGACTTTGCCTAATTTTTTTTTTTTGGTGAGGAAGATCAGCCCTGAGCTAACATCCATGCCAATCCTCCTCTTTTTGCTGAGGAAGACTGGCCCTGGGCTAAGATCCGTGCCCATCTTCCTCCACTTTATGTGGGATGCTGCCACAGCATGGCCTGACAAGCAGTGCGTCCGTGCACGCCCAGGATCCGGACCGAGGCCGCCAGCAGCGGAGAGCGCGCACTTAACCGCTACGCCACGGGGCCAGCCCTGATTTTGCTTAATTTTTAAGGAACAGTTGGGAGAATCAGTTATTGGCAAATAACTGGCATTAACTCTCCAATACGGATTTTATTCTGTCATTTGGAGAGGGAGTGAAATAGTGAGGGGTGTTTAGGCTTTGAGTATATCTATGTGTTTATGGATTTATTGCAGCCACTTTTTCAAATAGCTAATAAAGTTAGTGAGCAAAACCAGTTGCTATTTCATGCATTCACACAAGTCAGATCTGCTTTTCTATCTCTGTGAGGGAGGTACTAACTGACAGGGCAATGAAGTGAAGCTGGAAAATACACCTGAGAGATTCTGGCTCTGCTCTTCAGTGAGAAACTGAAAAATGTTCCAAGTGTTAACCTGGATCTTATTTTTAAGTGCTTTCTAACTCTGCCAAGGTTGTAGTAGTTAAAGAAATGCCCAATACCATGAGGCAACCTCTTAGTACTTTTAATTTTATTGTTTGTTGATTAGTAGTAGTATTGTTTCAAGTGTGAAATTATTTGTTAATATTTTTTGCAGTGGGTTTACATCTACATCTAATGGATAGAAACTTACTACTTATTTTCAGCTCCTACTTAAGAATTAAATCATTTACTTTAAAAAAACACGCTTCTTTAAATGGAATAGTTATCTGTTTTTATCGGTTTTTCCTCTTGTTGACAATGTCTCAATCTTATGAGTTCTATTTTAAATTAAAAGTCACATTACATTTTAATTAATAATTTACAGATTAAATTCTATCGTATGAGACATCATTACAAATCTTGTAAGAAGTATCAAGATGAATATGGTGTTTCTTCTATCATTCCAAACTTTCAGATCTCTCAGGATTCAGTAGGGAACAGGTAAGCAATATTTATTCTCAAAAAGAGAATTTTTATAGTTGAAATGGAAATTGTTTGGGGAACTATATAATAAGATTTTTTTGTTTTTTGTTTGTGTGTGTGTTTTAAAGTAAATTGCTAAGTATCAAAACTATATCGTTTGTCTTCAGAAGTTTCTTTGACTCATGTAAGATTGCTTCTGGGAGATCAACTTCATGATATACTTAAGCTATGCTATTTAAAAAATCATTCTAGGGGCCGGTCCGGTGGAGCAAGCCGTTAAGTGCGCGCGCTCTGCTGCGGAGGCCCAGGGTTCGCCGGTTCGGATCCCGGGCTCGCACCGACGCACTGCTTGTCAGGCCATGCTGTGGCCGGCCTCCCACATAAAGTGGAGGAAGATGGGCATGGATGTTAGCCCAGGGCCGGTCTTCCTCAGCAAAAAGAGGAGGATTGGCAGATGTTAGCTCAGGGCCGATCTTCCTCACAAAAAAAAAAAACAACATTCCAAGAAAATCTACATTTCTTTGAATAAAAAATAGACTTGAGAGTTGAAGACTATTTTGCAATTGAAATTATTTGAAAGCTAGAGAAAATCCCTTTCAGTAATGTGTTTGCAAACTAAAATCTTTTTTTGCTATTTAAGAAATAGAGCTGTTTGAAATTTTTATTCTGATAATAAAATGTCATATAAAAGTGAGACTTGTCATGTAAAAGTGAGACTTAATATACCTTATTATATTCTTAGTTCTATTTTAGTCTCAATTTTTTTAAAACTAGGTTTTGGTTTGATTTGTTTATTGTCTCAGATTTATGTATATTAAACATTGTTATGAAATGTATTTTACACAGAAGAATGGCCAACATGCACATGTGTGGTTTAAAAAATAGTAATGGGGCCAACCCGGTGGCATAGCAGTTTAGTTCATGCGTTCTGCTTCGGCAGCCCGGGGTTTGCCAGTTCGGATCCTGGGTGCAGACCTACTCACCGCTCATCAAGCCATGCTGAGGCGATGTCCCACATAGAGGAGCTACAACTCTACAGCTATGATATACAACTATATACTGGGGCTTTGTGGAGCAAAAAGAAAAAAAAAAGAAAAAGAGGAAGATAGGCAACAGATGTTAGTGCAGGGCCAATCTTCCAAAAAAAACAAAAGTGATAAAGAAAATACCCATTTACCCACTAACCTAGGTCAAAAAATAGGACACTTTTCTGGACCGTAGAATCTCCTTGTCACCCTGTGCCTGTTTGAACCCCATACTCCTAGAGGTAACCATTATCCTCTTTTTTGGGTTGTTCATTCTCTTGCCTTTCATTATAATATTATCACCCATGATGTATCTCTAAACAATGAAGTGTTTAATTTTTAAAAACTCTATAGCAAGCACACACATAGCTGTGTAAGGAAAGGCGGTATTGGCAGTATTATAAAAAGGCTCCCAGGAGACAGTATGTTAAGCAGCGTCTCTAAGATTTTATTGTAGTAGCATTTCATCTCACATGTTACTAATTTTCAGTAATTTAATCCATCTTAAGCACTCATACTGCAGTCAGGCTTCTCTACTCCTAAATTGAAACTGTTCTAGTAAAGGTCTTGAGTAATTTTCTGATTGTCTAGTCTGCAAAATTCTTTTAGGTTCTCTTTTTACTTAATATCATTGGATGAAATGAGTCACTCCTATTTTGTGATTTTTAAAATCCTTGTAAATTTTTTCATCTCTTATGCTTTCTTTATTATTGTACTTCTGCTGTATTGAAATTACTCCAATTTGTTATTAACCCAATAGATTATTCTCAAGTGCAAGGATGGTGTTTGTCTTGTTCGACATCGTATCTCCAGCTCTTAGCAAAATTCCTAGTATATATGGTTTGTGCAATCACTGCATGTTAAATGACCGAATTTTCTTCTCAGGAGACAGGCTTTCTTCCTTCTTACTCACTCAGATCCAGTTGGTCGTAGGTACCATTGATTCCTAATAGCAGTGTTCCTCATCTGTGCTTTTCTTTTATCCCTGTTGTCACTTCCATAGCTCAAGCCCTCATCATCTCTCACTTGAACTATTGCAATAGTCTTTTAGTTGGTGGTCCTCTTCTAATCTGTACTATATGCTGTTGCCAACGTGATATTTCCGAAGTGCGCTTCTGATCTCTTTCTCCCTGTCCTTGTACCTTCCTCTTTGTACCTTGTCAATCACTTAGCATGGCCCCATAGCAGTGTTTCTCATCCTGGGTTCCATGGAGTCTGTAAGGGTTCTGTGAACTACCTAAACTGCCAAATTTTTTTGTGTATGTGCGTTTTTCTGGAGGGAGAATGTCAAGATTCTCAAGGGGTTCCATGATCTAAAATCTAACAACTGGCTTATAAGACAAAATTTTTTACTCTAAAGCCCCCCTTTCTCACCTGGCACTTGCCTTTCCTTTCAGCCTTTCTCTCTCTTGGCTACTCATCACTGCATCATATGCCTTTGCCATGTTGAATTATTTGCACTATATCCTTGCCATCCTTGAGAAGCAATAAAATTTAGTGATTAAAAATGAAAGCTTGGAGCCAGGCTTCCTGGGTCCCAGGCTCTGTCACATACTAATTGCATGACTTTGGCAAGAAACTATACTTCAATTTTATCTGTTTAAAGAAAAGGGATGGTGATGATACTGTTATTACCTCATTGGGTTGGGAGTCAATAAATACGTTAATACAGGTGAAGCATATTGAATAGTACCTTGCTTGGTAAATGTTAGTTTTTAATTGTCATCGTCATCATCAGCAATCACCCCATCAACTCCAAACTTTTACCAGCAGCACTCCCTTCCCCTGCCACTCCAACCCACACTTTGCCAGCTAGTGGGCTTTTTCTTCTCTTTGAAGATTTAGACCAACTATTATCTACTCTGTGAAATCTTTCCTGACCTCTGGAATTTCTTTCTCTGGTAGAACTGTTCCTTTGTGTTCTGACTAGACCCTCTAACTCTAGACCCTCTAGTTTATAATATTTGTTTGTTTACTTGTGTGTCTTTTTTTAATCTAGAATAGGCTTCTTAGTCTTATTTTTTATATCCTAAGCAAAATTCTAATTGTAATGGAAAAATTGTGTTTGTATATGAATTTTTAGTAGGGAAATTGGTGAAAGACGAAAAAGAAGGTTTTTTTAAATTAAAAAATGGTAGGAAATACAACATATGAAGCCGGGGTATAGTCAGGGTCTTGGGAGGAAACAGATAGTATGCTCAACTTAGGTAGTTTGAGGAGAATTTAGTAAAGGGAGTATTTTCAAAGGGCAGGGTATTGGGTACACTATGTGAGCAGGGTATAGGAAATCACAATGAATAGATATGTACTCTGGGTCTGTGGAAAGCAGGGGAGGGGAGGAGGTAGATACCAGAACTTGGAGAAAGAAAGCTGTGTGGAGAGGGTAGTTGGAGAGAGATGCAACCAGTCTAGGCAGTTTTGCTGGGAAGGAGGAGTCTGGGAAATAAGTATCCTAACCTTCCTCTTATTTCTCCCTCCAAATCTCCCGCTGGGCTGAACCCACCTGGGAAGCAGAGAAGGGAATCTGTTGATGCAGGTTAGTCTCTCAGTGCACAAAGCATGGTGAAAAATGGAGAAGAGATCTGGAGGGGCAAAAAATACCCAGCACATAAGGATTTCAGTTGTCACCAAATATGTTATAATGTCCTATACACTTATGTTTCACAGCTTCCAAGTAGCTAGTACAAAGCAGAAAACATGCATTATGTTATTAACAGCGTCTGTGATATTATAAACAAAATAATGAGAAACAGCTGTTCCTGATACTAAAAGAAATGATACTGAAGTGATTTTGCCTATAGGTCCTCAGAAGAAGAAACTATACAGTAAACATCCTCTTTCCTGTGGTAAATACAAAACAAGTTACACAGGGCTGTTCTTTCAAGACCTTCAGTATAGGCTATCATAATGCCTTATTGCAGTTAATGCTTTTCTTCCAGGGGCTTTTCTCTGATATTCTGGCTTAATCTAGATGTGCTGGTAGAATGGACAGGATCTATACATTCAGGCGGTTCTCCATGAAGGTTATTTCTAGCAGCTAAGCATGTTCTTTTTTTTTAAACAGAATTTAATGTAAACAATTAACTAGGTATATCTATCCATCCGTCTATATGTCTTATCTTTTAATGCATTTCAAAGTAAATTGCAGCTAGCAGCTAAGTTTTTGATAAGCATTTCAGTTTGGAGAATTTAAGGGTCTACTCTTTGTCAAATAACTGGAAAACAGATATATTTAATATTGCTGATTAAGAGCAGGTCCATATAGTTAATAGTCAGCTGAGCAGGGTTTGGTGGCATCTTATGAAAGTTCGTTATTTTAATGAAGACCTCTCTGTAGCAAAGTCAAGGGACTACCTAAGAGTAGAGCCTGTGTTTCCTTAGAATACAGTTCATAGTATTCCCTAAGTACAAATGGGTGGTTTAAACTCTGAACTCTACAGCTATGGAATTCTTAAAGTGGTATTTGCATGCACCTATCTCAGTAGTAAAAAAAAAAATTCAAAATAAATCTATAGATTATTTTATTAATTCAACATACCTTTATTGTACCTTCTGAACTGCTGGGCAGACTCTACATGTTATTGAATATACAGGGATGGGTAAAACAGATAAAATCCCCTTTGCCATATATGTAAACAGTATAACTTCCAATTGAGTCATCCAAAATAAACTAGCACTAGTTTTAGTCACATCAATCAGGGTAGAACTATTTACCATAGACCAATAAATGTTGGAGGATGTTTAACAAAATTATTGCATTGGTATGTTGTAGTTTCTCATAATAATTATATAGCAGTGCTAGTTGTTTTACTAAGGCCATTTCTAGTTCATAACAATAAAATTCTGCTTTTAACATGTGAGACTGTATCTTTGTTTTCTTTAGCCACCAAAAGTGAGGAGGAGGAAAGAAAGAGGATGTTTGTAATCATTAAGATACTAGAACACATTTCTATTTTGTCTTCCTTGGAAATTATTTGGTCTGTTTGCAGGCTT